GACAATGAAATGACCACCTCTTTATTGCTAATGAGGTTCATATGCCTTTCAAAAAACTTATTCTGGCTTTATCTGCCGACAGTCTCTGTGACAAAACTCTTGGGAAAGCCAAAGGCAGCAAGCTGACAATCAAATTTGTCCTTAGACTACTAATAAGGGAGCAGATGCTGGATATCTCTAATTTCACATGGTTCTTTAACTTCAAGAGGGTGAAATAAGCCAAATACATGCATTAAGAAAAAAAAAAGAATGTCAAAACAATGGGGAGAAATTAATATCTCCAGCATGATCACTCTGATTTAAGTGAAGTTATTGCCCTATGAGAGATGCTTTCATTTTTCAGCTCTTTTATCCAACTTCTTTAGCAATTTAACCTTTCTTATATGAGTGTCTTTTTATTATAACATGTGAGAATTAGCAGTCAGTTCTTATACCTCTGTATCTTGGGAGCAAATGAAATTACTAAAGTGGCTCCTTAAATTGCTCTCATGCCACGAGTTAAGAGTGAAGGTAACCAGTAGGAGGGACCTGACCTTGAACTCTAACACATGTTCAGTTAACAGATCTGTTCTTGTCTTTATGGACATAGCACGTTGTGTGGCATTTAGCACACAAAGTGCCTCTGACCTCTGTGGAGCTGAGAGCACTGTCCACCCCGAACAGTTTGCACTCTGGCTGCCGTGCACAGAGCTGGCTGGTGCGTCATGAGCCGCAGCTACTTCTTTTATAAATCTCCACTAAGTGAATTTTGTCAATTAACGTTTTTCTTTACAGCCACAAACTCACTGGCTCCAACTCCCAGAACCCACCCTCGGGGTTTCTGAGGCTGTAAATGGCAGAGAGAAGAATTTGCCCAGCTTTCTCCAGTGATGCTAATGTGGCCCCCCATTTCCAGAGACCCCTTTTCCCTTCAGCATCCCAGAATCCCAGGCAAACTCTGCTCCTCTGAGCAGATGGAGCACGGGGGGCAATTGTGCGTCAAGGTGGTTTGAAAACAGGTTTTGTCAGGCCAGCTAGTCTTTTGCCAAGGGAGACTTCCAAGTAAAAGTCTGTCTTCCTGCATGTCTTGAAGCCTGGCTAGGCTCAGCTGAGCATCACCCTTTATAGGAGCTGCTTCTCCACCTCTGCCCGTAGCCTCATTTGACCCTGTCCCACGTCTCTCATTTCCACTGTCTGTGATGTCCAGTGCTAATAGCACCCCCTGGATGTCCCTCTCCCCCTGCAATCAGACCCCCCTGTGTGAATGGCGCCCCCTGGGTGGCTCCTGTGTGAATGACGCCCCCTGGGTGGCTCCTGTGTGAGTGGTGCCCCTGGGTGGCTCCTCTGAGAACAGCGCCCCTTGGAAGGTTCCTTAGTGAATGGCGCCCATAGGTGGTTTCTCTGTGAATGGTGCCCCCTGGGTGACTCCTGTGTGAGTGGCGCCCCCTGGATGGTTCCTTAGTGAATGGCACCCCCTGGGTGGCTCCTGTGTGAATGGCGCCCCCTGGATGGCTCCTGTGTGAATGGCGCCCCCTGAGTGATTCCTCTGTGAATGGCGCCCCCTGGATGGCTCCTGTGTGAATGGCCCTCCCTGGATGGCTCCTGTGTGAATGGTGCCCCCTGAGTGATTCCTCTGTGAATGGCACCCCCTGGATGGCTCCTGTGTGAATGGTGCCCCCCTGGGTGGCTCCTGTGTGAATGGCACCCCCTTGAGTCATTTCTTTGCTGCCCTTCCTACTTGAAAACATATGTGCCCCTCCCCTCCCAGGCTAAACATTTCTCCAGAGCCCCAACCCTTGCCTACAATCAGTCCCATTGGAACTATAAATTTCTGACTGTGTTAACTCAACATGTATTTGCTTTTCTTTCTTAATCTTTTCGTGTTTATTGTCATTATGTCAGTCTCAGGAGAATAGGGGCTTTGTTTTCCATGGCCTTTGTAAGTACAGATTTAGTTCCTTCTTTGAGGTTGACCTAATTGACACTTGAAATTGGTTTTACAGAAAGTGTATACTCAGAGGGAATGTCTTTAAATATGATGCAAGGTGAAAATAAGTTTCCTGGGTTTACTTTGAGTCGGCCTCTAATATGATGCCCGTGAAAACTAATGCTAGTTGCCAGAGAAAAGCCACACATTCTTAGCTTTTTAGAGGCTGGATTTTCCATCATCTCAGCTCCTTTCTGCATGAAAATCCTCTGCCTTCTGCTGAGGGTTCATTTCACTCAGTTGTCACAGTGAAAAGACTGATTCACCCCACACAATGTCACAGAAACTCTTCTAGACAATCAATGTAATTGTTTCACTGTCATCTTTCTATAAATTATGTAGACACACAACACCTGCTGTTTATTTTCAAGTGACAAAATGTCACAATACTGGGCTCTGGATATCTTCAGATTATTCCCTAAGGTTTTTTAATTTGCTTGTTTGTTTGTTTGTTTACTGTACTCCAAAATAAACCATTAGGATAGCCAGTTATTTTCAGCAAAGTCTGCCTGAAATGGCAGTTCTTAGCAAAATTTAAAAAAATATAAGAGTTGCAAAGCTCTAGGAGCATTCAAAGGCACCACTAACAGAATATATAAACATCTAAACACTAATGTGGAATAGGGAGCTCTTGTGGCCTAGTGGTAAGATATTGCGCTGCGATCTCAAAAGCACACAGTTTGAATCTGATAGCTGCTCTGCAGGAGAAGGATATGCATTAACTGCCTCTGAAAACCTGTTGGAGGATCAGCTGTGAGTCAATTCTGACTCAATAGCAAACAACAACAGCAACAAGGTTGAAGTAGGAAGTTTGTAGGGAGCTGGGCTGCTATCCCCAAGGTCACATTTTTCTGGTGGTTTAAATCCACCAACAACTTCTCGAAAGGAAAATGGGCAATGTCCTCCCATGCAGTTTAAAGCCTTGAGATCCCTATGAAGGGTTAGCTGTGAGTTGGTTCAGGCTTGACCACAATGAATTTGAGTTTTGAGTTGGTATATATTTTTATGTATCAAGACAAGGAAACTGAAACACACAAAAAAGCAATGATGCTTTTTAGTTTATTACTTCATATGCTTTACTGGTTTCCTTCACTCCATACACACGCATACATTCACGTTAGGTTTGACCATGCAATTAACTTTGGACAAATAAAAGAGTAGCAAACTTGGCCCAAGCAACTTACCCAATTTTACACCAGTGAGTATAAGTCCTAGTGGTGTGATGGTTAAGTACCCAGCTGGTAGCCAAAGCATTGGTAGTTCAAACCCACCAATCACTTTGCAGGAGAAAAGACTGGACCACATGTTACCATAAGCATTACAAACTGGAAAATCCCACGAGAACTTTCTGCTGTGCTCCATAGCATCACTAAGAGTAAGACTCACCTCAGTGATACAGAATGGCAGTGAATACTAGGGCTGTAATGTGGAGCCAGGAGAGTCTACCTCCAGAAACTGCTCTTAGCAGCTATATCAATTAGCTATTGCTACATCACCATGAACCCCCAAACTTGGTTTACATACATCTTCAAGCACATGAATTTTTTTTCTGAGTCATTTAGTCAGCTTGGCAGTGTGATGAACATTCTCAGCCCATTTGGGCCGGACATCTTCATCTGCTTGTATCCATCTGGAGGTTCACTGGTCCAGGGCAGCACTGGCTAGAGCAGTTCAGGCCTTCTCCACATGATATCTCATCCTCCAAGACTTTGGCAGGGGGGTCAGAGAAAGAAAGGAGAAATGCCGTCGCTTGCTGTCCCTTCCTCTGGGTTTCGAGGATCAAGTATGCTACTCTTTTACTTGACCAAAGACCATCACATGGTCCAGTGAATGTGAGAGGCCACTACTGAAGGACTTGATATAAGAAATTAAAAAGCTCATAACTAACCCTCCATTGAGTTTCTGAGATTGTAAATAGCATGAGGAGAGATTGTCCATCTTCCTCCAGATGAGCCAGTGATGAACCATCAGAGAGGCCCCACTTTTACATTATCCGCCTGCTCCCCTGTGGACCCACCGGAGCCCACTCCATGGACACAGGGCACAGGAAGGCATAAAAACCAGGCCCTTTAGCCAAGGTTCCTTTTCCTAATCCTGATGTGGAATAGATCATTTGGGAAGGCTGGACCGTATGAGGAGAAATGTGCCATATGGATTGGAGGAAGCCTCATTAACAACCTGCGTGATGCAGATGAAACAACCTTAACGATTTTACTTGCTGAAGCTGGGGAGGGCCTGAAGCATTTGCTGCAGAGGGTCAGGACTGTAGTCTGCAATGTGGACTGAAACTCAATATCAAGAAAATGAAGATTCTCACTGCTGTGGCAATTGGCAGCATCATGATAGATGGAGAAAGGATGGAGATGTTAACAATTTCAGCTTGCTCTGTTCCACAGTCAACACTCTTTGAACCAGCAGTCGGGAAATCAAAGGATGAGTTCCATTAGGAAAGTCTCATGTCAGGGACCTCTCTAAAGTGCTAAAGAGCAGTGATGTCACTCTAGGGATTAAGGTGTACCTGATCCAGACCATGGTTTTTGCAATTACTTGCTTTGCATCAGAGAGCCAATGGTCAGAGATGACAAAAGAAGAATTGATGCCTTTGAGTGTGATGCTGGAGAAGAGTATTAAACATATCATGGGTTGCCAAGAGAACTAACAGGTCTGTCCTGGAGAAGGTTGGAAAGGTGGAGGGACAGCTCAGGAAAGGAAGACCCTGGATGAGACGGATTGACGCAATAACTGGGGTAATGGGGGTAAGTGTGTCAGAGACAGTGAGATTGGCTCAAGATAGAACAGAGTTCAGAGCTATTGTGCATAGGGTTTCTGTGAGTAGTGATTGACTAGACAGCACATAACAAAAACAATTATGATGTGTTATCATGCTGCCTTTATCCACTCTCTGCCAATTTTCCATTTGACGTTTCAACCTCGAAATGAGCTATAAAATACTACAAAACATAGCCTGTTGATTTAGGAAGGAGGTCAGAGAAGAATCTGAGAAGTAGAGAATTAAAAATGTCTGTCATTTTAGGCTGAACCTGGAGAAACCCCTTCTGAGGCCCCGAGTGAAGCCAGGACGACTCCAGCTGAAAACGGAGTGAATCACACCACATCACTGACACCCAGACCACCCTCCCAGGCTCCCCACAGCCAGCCGGCTCCAGGTAAGCAGTGTGGAGAGAGACATGTCCAACCTGGCTAGACACATCTAGAGTTTGTGCCTTTTGTTGTTTTTTTTTTCCTTTTTTGGAGATGGAAGCATGATGGTGAGGAATTGCATCAAGTGAAAAAAGATGTGTAGACCTAAAAGATCCTCCATTCACGTGGAATGAGTGAATGAATGCAAGCTCTGAGAAACGCACCCATGCTCACCTGTCTCTGGGAATAACACGTGAAGCCAGTCAGACACTCCCCTGGGTTCCCCACATCCTTATTTAATAATAGCCTGTGATCCATCACGGGCAGGGCGCATAGAGAGTCGTTTGAGCATGTGTACACATCATTGTTTGGGAAACAACTTGCCTCGCCTTCTGTCCCTTAATTGGGGTAAAGTCCTGCCAGGAATCCCTTTCCCTCCCTCTCTCCAGCTCCTTTTTTAACAATATTGAACATCTACAATATGCTAGGCACTCTGCTCAGCCCTTGCTGTGGATTATTTCAGTTTAAGTTGTTGCGTGATTCTGTTGAGTTGCAACAGGATAAAGCATTACCTGGCCCGGTGCCATCTTTATGATTTATATCAAATACCAGAATGGTTTCCCAATGTGGACAGTGTTTGGTGCAGCTGTTGTTGTACACCCGTTGCTGTAGGTGTTGTGTTGTTTCACAGACAGTACCCTATGGTCTTGTTGACCTCTGTGAAACATATTGTTCTTTTCTGGTGTTTGATCTTTCCTGATTATGTGTCCAAAAGGAGCAAACTGAAGTCTTGCCTTTCTTCCAAGGAGCAGTGGGATTTAAAACTGCTTGCAACAAGCCATGTAGGGGACACAGAAAGATTTCCTGAGCATATTCACATAACTCATGTGCTTAGTTTACTAGTCAAAGGCTTGGGAATCATTTCTGGATAAAGTAGTCAAGTCGCATGACCTGATTCTCAACAATAATGTTCAGCACCATTGTTAACAAGTACTGAGGAAGTCTTAAAAGCTTGGGAGCAGCCGTGTAAGGTATAATTGTTAGTTTCTGATCATATGGAGCAAGAAAGAAAAAAGGGAATCAAAGGCTTAAAGAAGTAAATTGTTGTTTAGTGTAATCCAGTCAAGTAAGACTCATAGCAACCCAATGAACAAAAGACCTGAGCCCTGCCCTATCCTGTGCCGTCCTCACCATGTCTGACCCACCACTGCTGCAGTCATTGTGCCAACCCATCTCACTGAGGGTCTTTCTTTATTTCATTGATCCTCCCGCTTTCCAAGTATGATGTCCCTCTCCAAGTAATAACCTCTCTTAGCAACATGCAATTAACAGCCCACATGAACCTCTTCTCACCTGAGACCAGCAGAGTTAGACGCCCTGCTACCACCAGTGACCTTTTTAGCCATGGATACACTAGGAGTCCCTGGGTAAAATGGAAATAAAATATATTACAGAATCAAATTCCTTAAAAAAAATTAAAATAAGACTAGACATACTGTACCAACAGATACGACAGTAACCCCTAAAACCATCTCTACAATGCTCTTGGATATGGAGTTGATGATATTTCTGCAGGCCACTTTTCATCCAAATGTTCTTGTTGTTGTTGTTGCTGTTGTTGATTACCACCGAGTTGAGGTTGACTCATAGAGACTCTATTAACAGAAGGCCTAATGCCTATCCATAGCTATCATTGTTTTCTTCAAGTTCATAGTGGTTTACAAAGTGGATGCCACTCCTGCTTCCCAACCTGTTTTACAACTGGGAGCTCCACCAAACACTGTCCACAATGGGAAACCATTATGCTATTTGATATCCTCATGGCACAAGGTTTAGCATCATAGCAAACCCAGGGTCACCTCATATAGCACATTGACAAAGAGTGATGTGCGAAGTGGAAGAGTATTCCTCTAGATATAACAGCACTAGTCTCATTTAGCAGTGGTTAAGTTTCATCTAAATAGTAGATTATTTTATCACCCATGAAAAATGAAGAAGGTAGATCAGTGGGAAGAAAACAAACAGTGGAAACAATGGCAACGTTGATACATTGTAAAATTGAAACCAGTGGTGTGCAGTTCGTATTAAAACTGTTAACTCACTACCATTGAGTTGATTCCACCTGTAGTGGTAAAGGGCTTCCAAATGGAATCATTACCCTCTTCTTGATTGATAGCATAGCGCATAATGTATTGTGTAACCAGACCATCCTAAAAATTCACTGAAAGAGAATCTGATTTACTGTGTAAACTTCACCTAGAATTTGTACAAAATGCCCT